AGTATCTTGAAGTACTATTAACTTCTTTCTAACCCTTTTGAGTATCGTTATCTATCGAGAGATATTATATTATATATATATAGATTTCCTTTCGAATACCTTTAGTCTTTCGATCACAAATCCTAAAGTATCCTTACCATATTATAGAGATAGAGATTATAGATTACAGCGATTTATTTTAGACTTTTTTCAAGTATTATCTGCTTGGCCTGTTGTATTTATTGCATCGCTTTAAATGTATTTTATAATTGTATTATATATATTTTCACAGCCTTTAAACAGCCGCCTATTGTGCAGCCCATACAGGAGATCGTATCAGCACAGCATCGCTATTTCCGCATACCCTTCATGCGCGCCAATGCGCCCGATAATAGTAAGTGCTAAAGAGTTCTTCGATTATAATTTATTAACCTTTTTCTATCCCTCTCCCTCGCTCAATCTCTCTCTGCTGTAGCCAAGCGCGGTTTGTGGTATGCGCACTTTGATGGTCAGTGGATTGCCCGGCAAATGGAGCTGCATGCGGACAAGCCACCGATCCTGCTCGTTGCCGGCACAGACGATATGCAGATGTGTGAACTGAGCCTCGAGGAGACCGGACTGACACGCAAGCGAGGCGCTGAAATTCTGGAGCACGAGTTCAATCGCGAGTGGGAACGCAATGGGGGCAAGCCGTACAAGAACCTGGGTGCTAAGCCGAACGGAGCTGGCATTTAAATCAATTCGTGAACGTATCGAAAGGATAGAAACCATTGGGAAAAAAGGAAATAAGATAAAGAAGAGAATAACCAACACCGTTTGACAAATCCAAATTTTCAGTCTAAACGAAATTCCATAAATATTTTTGCATAACTTTTGATAAGAACTACGTCCAAAAAATTTATGGTTATAATAGATAAAACATAAATTTATAAATGTCAACAGATCTTTTTTTTATATATGTACGTATATATCCATACATTTCAATTGCGAATGGATTTCGTTTTCATCGCTCAGCTTTGCATCGGTATTCCATGTACATGAGCATTTTTTTTTTCAATTAGTTAAGCGAGTGTCTAATACGCGATATAAACCCGGAAATGGCAAGTTGTATTTAGTATCTAATGAAATTCTATTTAAATGTGTATTTACATATATAATTGCATATATATTTTACAGTATTTTAAATTAAAAATTAAATGCTCGAAATATGACGTGTCTTTTCATGTGTTTTTAGGCAAATTTAATTAATGGATGAATGTGGAAACTTAATCTCCTATTTTTGTCAATTTGAATTTAGCGGCAAATGTGCAACTCAAAATTGCGCTTGTGTCAGTTTTGTTCACTTTTTCGATACTTATCGATAACTATTCACAATAGCTATGAGCTGCGTAGTCAGGTGGCAACCACGCTGCACGTGTGTTTGTTTACAAAAATGTCACGCAAAACATGGAAGTCTTTGGACAAGCCACCGCTTTCACAGCCCGTCCTCGAGGTGCTGGAGGGGTTTGGCTTTGATCTAATGACACCTGTGCAAACGGCGTCGATTCCATTGCTGTTGGCACGCAAGGATGTCTCCGCCGAAGCTGTTACGGGCAGTGGCAAAACGCTGGCGTTTCTCGTGCCAATGCTAGAGATTCTGCAGCGTCGGCACCATGAGACGCCCTGGACAGCAAAGGAGATTGGTGCACTGATCATATCGCCCACACGTGAGTTGGCGCGACAGATATCCGAGGTGCTTGCCCAGTTCCTGGCACACGAGCAACTGGAGCATCTGAATCAACAGCTCATCGTCGGCGGCAATAGCATTGAAGAGGACATTGCCGCTTTGAAGCAGCAGTCGCCATGTATACTGGTGTGCACACCAGGACGTCTGGAAGATCTGTTTCAGCGCAAAGGCGACGACGTCAATTTGGCTTCGCGTGTGAAGAGCTTGGAATTCCTGGTGCTCGATGAGGCGGATCGCCTACTCGACTTGGGCTTCAAGACGAGTGTGAACAACATCTTAGGCTATCTGCCGCGCCAGCGACGCACTGGTCTCTTCTCAGCCACACAGACCACCGAGGTAACTGACCTGATTCGTGCCGGCCTTCGCAATCCTGTGCTTGTCTCCGTTAAGGAGAAGGCTTCCGTTAATACCCCAGCGCGTCTTCAGAATTTTTACAAGATTGTGGAGCCAGAACAAAAGTTTGTCTCACTGCTGCAGTTCCTACGCTCGCCCACCTCCAAGACCGGCAAAGTTATGGTCTTCTTTCCCACTTGCGCCTGCGTCGAGTACTGGGCAGAGATGCTGCCGTCCTTTTTGCCCGATCGCCAGGTCCTGGGCATCCACGGCAAGATGAAGAACAAGCGAGCCAGTGTCGTGGAGCGTTTCCGCACCGAAGCAAACTCAGTATTGCTGTGCACGGATGTGTTGGCGCGTGGTCTGGATGTGCCTGAAATCGAGTGGGTGGTGCAATGGGATCCTCCGTCCAATGCTTCGAGTTTCGTGCATCGTGTGGGACGCACCGCTCGGCAAGGCAACGAGGGAAATGCTTTGGTATTCCTGCTGCCCACCGAGGATGCATATATCCAGTTCCTAAAGCTCAATCAGAAAGTGGAGCTGAGCGAGCTGCAAGAGGAATGCATTGAGGCAAACGAGGCAGAGCTGAAGTCAACGGTGGAGAAACTGCATCAACTGCAGGCCGCTGATAAAGGTGCCTACGACAAAGGCATGCGAGCCTTTGTCTCCCATGTGCGCGCCTACACCAAGCACGAGTGCAGCGCTATATTGCGACTGAAGGATTTGGATCTGGGCAAAATGGCCACGGCGTATGGACTGCTGCAACTGCCGCGCATGCCAGAGCTAAAGAACTACCAGGGCAATGGCTACATTGCGCCCAGCTTCGAAGTGGATCTCACCAAGCTGACCTACAAGAATGCGCAGAAGGAGCAGGTGCGCAAGCAGAAGCTGCAGACGTTCGAACAGACGGGCACTTGGCCGGGACGCCAAAAACAACACATGAAACGCACCGAATCCTGGGACCAGACAAAGAAGGCCAAGCTGGATGCCAAGTCCAAGAAGGAGCTGCGAAAGGCGAAGAAGCAACGTAAGCGTGAAGCGGCAGCAGCCGAGGGCGGGGCACAGCGCAAACGCAAGCAACAATTCACGCAGGAGGACCTGGAAGAACTGGCCAGCGATATTCGTCTATATAAGCGGCTCAAAAAGAAGAAAATCAGCGACGAGGACTATGACAAGGCCATGGGCATTGATGGTGCTGACGACTAGGAAGATGTATAGTTTAATGTAAATAATTAAGTGCACAAACAATAAACTAGAAACAGTTTGTATAAGCGACGATCGTTTAGTGTAGTTGCCCGTGCCGCACATACACATGCAAAGGGGACAAGAATAAACTTTTCACCACTGTCACACTCAACTCTTCGCACTTGCTCAACTGCACTTCCACTTTCGACGAGCATCGGGTGTCGATAGTTAATTCCAATGCATTTCCTCGAATACACGCATACATGCATACATATGCAAAGCGAACAAGCATAAACCTCTCACCAGAACTTTGTATTTGCTCGGCTGCTCTTGCGCTGTGCAGTGTGATCGAGACAGATGAGCACTATCTGTAAATTCCATAAATTCCAATGATTTTGCTCAATTTCTCTTTCCATTTAACGCAAGTATGGAAACCCTTAGCTGCTGCTAACAAGGCAGATAGCTGCATGCTCTCTTCTTTTTATATTCGCTCTCTTAATTGAATGTATTTAAGTACTTAATGCACAGCCGAAGCAGCAATGTAGGAAGAGAGAAGAAAGTTTGGGCTTGCTGTTCCGAAGACGTAAATATGTATGTGTGTGATTCAACACAATCGTGTTATTTCCTTTATTTCCAATTAAAAGAACTAAGATTTTTACTAATTTAATTTTATAAATGCTTATTTGGCAGCATCCTGATTGGTTGCTCCAGAGATAAATACCAGTAGGACTACAGGCACAATATACATCCAGTATTTAGCAAAGAAGCCCCTATTGTCGCGCACCTCGCCGCGCTCTCTGGCCTCACGCTCCCGCTCGAACTTCTGTATAAAACTGCCAGTGTCCGGAACCGGTGCCAGTTCAGCATGTCGAATGATAACATCAGAGCTGAAGTTTTTCTCGTTGATTTGCTGCGTATTCTCGGCGGTGCATTCTGAGATCTTTGGTGCTGGATCCTGGGAGGTAGTGATGCCCGTCACATAGCCATTGGGATCTAGAGATACCCATAGAACATCATTGAACTGGGCCAGCAGCAAACTGCACGCTTTGCTGGAAGTCAGGAAACGCTGGCTACCTCCATTGGGATATGTGACCGTTGCCCTCAGGCGATAGAATCCATTCTGGCGTGCCAGAACCTTCAGGCTTTCAAGCTCACTGTCCGTTAATGGATTCTGCACAACTGTCGAAAGTCCCGCATTGAGACTTGGTATTGAGATATTGCCGCGATGCGAGAAATGCTCTGGCCTGGTAGCTGACAAAGCATGGTGCAAATCAATATTTATCCAGCTATCATGTTCCAAGAAGCTCCAACCACTTGCAAACAAGCTGACCAGAACGATTAATAAATAGCTTAACTTTAAATGCATCTTCGTCAATATATTTTCTTTTTATTTACTTATTTATGTTTTTTTTTTTTTTTTTGTCTGAAAAGGCAATGTTTTTATAGAAGATTTTCGAGGGATGATTCCAGTAAATTACTTACGTCCGAATTTCTTTAATAAGTCATTAAACTGCAGCCCATATGATTTGCAGTATATTTCTATCGATTGAAACCGATGGTATTCGATTGTTGCTGTCAGAGTTGAGCGTCGATATATTAGCTCTCATAGCAATAGCAGAAATTTTAGCAGTATCTAAAAATTTGAGTGAGAGAATTGATTCAATGCCTACTTATATTTTAGTTTTTATTTTGTTCTTTTCATTTCGACTTTCCCGGCTGATCGGCAGATATCAATCGATTATGTATCGAGCACGTGGATTAATCGATAAGAGAGTAAACATGTTCTCAAAGACGGTGTTTTGGTAACACAGCTTAATCAAATATATTTATATTTTAAACTTGTAACTTGAGTGGATTCACGGTTCCACATAACGGCGGCTCAATGGGAAAAACGTCGAAGGATAAACGTGACGTTTACTATCGTCAAGCCAAAGAGGAGGGATGGCGAGCACGCAGTGCATTCAAGTTGATGCACATCAACGAACAATTCGGCATTTTGGACAGTAAGCCCTTTGATATATGTTCCCTATAAAAGAGATTCAGGCAGTCAATCATAAGTTCTTTACAGATGTGCAGCGAGCGGTTGATCTGTGCGCTGCACCCGGCAGCTGGTCCCAGGTGCTCTCGCGCAAGCTCTACGACTGCTGCCTGACTGACGACCAGAAATCGGAAGTGAAAATCGTTGCAGTTGATCTGCAAGCGATGGCGCCAATCCGTGGCGTTGTCCAGCTGCAGGGCGACATAACCAAGGAGAGCACAGCAAAGGCGATAATTTCGCACTTTAATTATGGCGACGACAAGAAGGCGCAGCTAGTCGTCTGCGATGGTGCACCGGATGTGACCGGAGTCCACGAAATGGATGAGTATATGCAAAGCCAGCTGATCATATCGGCTCTGAGCATTGCCACCTTTGTGCTAGAAACAGGCGGCTCTTTCGTGGCAAAGATATTCAAGGGCAATGCCAACTGCATGCTCGAATCAAGATTACTCACATTCTTTGATGAATTCCAAATCTACAAGCCGCCCAGCTCGCGACCATCGAGCAATGAGGCATTCGTTGTGTGCTCTGGTTTCCGGCTGCCGCCTGGCTATGTTCCACAAATCATAAATCCGGCACGGGATGAATTTCGACAACTAGCCCGCGAAACTGGCTCAGCGATCAATCAGCGTCTGGTCCCATTTATTGCTTGTGGCGATTTGAATGGATGTGTGGATGAAAGGGACGGATTCACCTTGAAAGATCTGGAAATGACCTACGATGATATGATAAATGATGTCGATTTTCCAAGTGAATTTAAGGACGAGCTAGAGCCGGTGCTTTTGAATGAAATCGCTACCCGGAGCGCAGAACGTGCCCAGGCTAATCTAATCTAATCCTAAGTAAACATAATCGAATCCTTAGAACTCACTTGCATAAACAGCTTTTTATTAGACATAGTATGACATGACAATGCTAAATGGTAAACAAAACGTGGGCGCCTCTAATACTAAATGAGATGAAAACGTAAATGTGTTCAGGTAAACTCTTCGCATAGGTCTAGATATAGCCGTACTTTAGGCGACGCCATCGACCACAATCTGTAGAATTGTGCGCCGCTTGGGATCGTAGGAGAAGCCATTGGAGCGAAACAGTTCCGAGTCGTAGAATGATTTCAGATTGGTAATGTCCAGCTGCTTGGCTCGCTCCAGCAGATCGCGCTCCATGATCTCCACGTGCGTGGCACTGGGCCCATCCTTGCAGCGTATGTAGGCCAGCTGGTCGAGCGTCAGTTGGCGCAAGATGAAGAAGAGCAGCTCCGAGTGGTCCTTCTGGAAGGCCAAATACTTCTGGAATGTGGTGCGCATCTTCTTCATCACGCTGAACTTTTGCGCCTCGATGAAACTCTCGAGCATCATGCGTATGGCCATGCTAACGTCTGCCTCCATCACATTCTCGCGCAGATGCAGTCGAGCATGCGCCTCCGACATGCGGATGACGCTCTCAATGTGACGCACCGTAATGGGCAGCGAGCCTGTGGCGAAGGATTCCTGTCGCAGCTGCGAGTACATCTTGGCAATCTTGTCCTCATCAATATTCTAGACGAAAAGCAATTAATAATAATTAGGTTAGTGAGAAATTCTAGTCTAAATATAATATGTGGACTCACAGTTAGTTTGGGTCGGATATTCTCCTTGGCATAGACAATGTATTGACGCAGTAAATCCTGTGGTATCTCCTCCACATTCTTCAGCTGCGGCTCCTCCAGCTCCGGGGGCTCCTGCTCGCTGGGATGGTGCTTCATGTGTGAGTGCACCACGAACTTAGCTAGCTGCTGATCCTGCATGGGATCGAACTCGTCCTTGACCACGCACAATATGTCGAAACGGGACAGAATCGGTTCCGAGAGATTCACATTTTCTGAAAAGGTCATCGAGGGATCATAGCGACCGCCAATGGGATTTGAAGCAGCGATCACCGTGCAACGTGCCTGAAGCGAAGTGACAATGCCAGCCTTTGATATCGATATCGATTGCTGTTCCATGGCCTCGTGTATGGAGGTGCGATCCTGGTCGTTCATCTTGTCGAATTCATCTATCAGACAGACGCCCTGGTCGGCCAGCACCAAAGCGCCCGCCTCCAGAGTCCATTCCTTGGACACGGGATTGCGACGCACGTAGGCGGTCAAGCCCACGGCGCTGGCTCCCTGTCCGGTGGTAAATACGGCACGCGGTGCTATCTTCTCTGTGTACTTCAGGAATTGTGACTTGGCAGTGCCTGGATCACCGCAGATGAGCATGTTGATGTCGCCACGCACCTTGTGCTTCTCGCCCGGATTCTTGGACTCGCCACCGAAGAGAGCCAAGGCCAGAGCACGCTTGATATATTCGTGGCCGTAAATCGAAGGCGCCATCGATGCAACTATGCGATCAGCAATGCGTGGATCTTTGCTCAGCTTTTGGATGGTGGCAATGTCCTCATCCGTCAGCGACTGCACCACCTGCTTGGAGTCCTTGACCACCACATGGTTGGCTATGATGACCGTTGCAAAGACAGGGAAGCCCTGATCCGTATTCAGCGAGCCGTCATAGTTGTTCGTATAGATGCCCGTGACCTCCAGCTCATCGCCTGGCTTGCACTGATCGCACAGATCCGCGAGCAGGATTACATCCTTGCTGCGTGGTATGCGGCCGGCGGGTATGCGACCCGGTGACTCCTGCAGGGTTATCTTCTGATAGTTGCGATACAGCGTTTGCTCCATGTTAATGGAGAAGGGACCCGTGCTCTGACACTCAGGACACGAGCCCGGCTTCACCTCTGTGTTCTGCGACTGCACAAATGGACCCAGCACATATCCGCACTTAACGCAATCGTACTTGATCACTGAGAGCTGGGGAAGGACGCCCGTTGTGGCTGTAACTACGCCCAAGGTGCGCACGAGCTGATTCAGATGCAGCTTACGGAAGGTGCGCAGCTCTTCGATCAGCGGCAGCTCCGAGATGCGCACATGAATCTCCGTAGTTACACGCTCGTAGGTGGGGAAAATGGAGAGAACCATGTCCTTGGCCACCTTGTCGAAGATCTCAAGCATTTGGAAGGGTGCTTCGGGCAGAAAGTAGGCCAGCACGTGCTCCTTGTTGGCCAAATCCGTGTAGGACACCACGAATGAGGATTTGTTCTGCTCGCACATGCGCCGAATGCGATCGCGATAGGTATAGGCGCCACGATCAACGAAGGTGCGCAGGAAAGATTGGAAGCGATTTGCGATTTCCGTACGCGGTCCCAACATGCTTACCCACTCCTTGGTGGAATGTCCCTTGGTGTCCTCCAGGTTCTCTATGGATTCGATCATTTCTGTGTCTTCGACCTCGCCGACAGCTGCCTTTTCGCCAGCACGTCGCTTGGCACGTGGGCCCACATCATCCTCGTCGTCCGACTGACCAAAGCCCAAATCACGATCATCTCGGTGAATGCCGGCGGCGCGATCCCGACGACGCATTTCCGATTCGGCTGCAAAGCGTTCACCCTGCGACATTTCGGAGAAGTCCTCTTCATCGTCCAGCATGGCAGGATCATAGTGATCCAGCTCAGGCATCTCGCGATAATCTGCATATGGAATTTATTCATTAACAATCTGACTTTGCTAAAAATATATGGGTGCATACCGTTCTCCATGTTGTCGCCAAACAGCTCCTCGCCATCTTCTTCCTCCTCATCGCGCACTGTTTGATCGCCAAGAATTTCATCCTCATTCTCGAAAGGTTCAAAGTCGCCAACCGGAGAAGTCATCGCAGCTCGCGAATCGCGACGCTCGATCACGTCGCTGGGCGTATTTGGAGGCGGTGAACTGGGATCATCCTACAAGCAGGCATTGTAAGTATTACAAACATTCTATTACTAGATTAACTTACCATAGTTGCAATCTGGGAGTTTTATCTATAAATTAAATATTATCTATTCCTTCAATTTGAGCGTGGAGATTGTTGTTACTGCTGCGGCAGCTGTGCGAAATTGGCGTGCAATTTTGGCGGGAGAATCACAATAAATTGATATTTATCGGACAAAAAACGCGATACTCGTAAATAAGTTAATCGATTAGCTGCAGGGCCATCGAGTAACGACACGCGTGATTTTACAATTAAAATGCATTCACGTGAATAAATTATTAAAAGCAATAAAATCAGCACTGAAACTATTAATTACAAATTCTTTAACTGCAATATAAATGGATTTTTAACAAAACAGACAAATACTCGATATTTGGAAACATATGATTTGTATTGCTAACGTTTGGAAGCTCAATGCTATGATAAGCAAAAGTCTTGCCACGTCGCTGTAAGCATTTTATGTACATTGTTTGCAACCCCGCACGACAGATGGCTCAATGGTCTAGGGGTATGATTCTCGCTTTGGGTGCGAGAGGTCCCGGGTTCAAATCCCGGTTGAGCCCGTGTACGAACTTTTTACAAAACCTTTTCTTGTTATTTTTAATAATGCGTTTAGAAATAACTTGGTTGTAATTGCTTAATAATATGTATGCGGTCGTTTACTAGCCAGTTAGAAATAATTAGCCATATATTTTTAATTGATCACTTACCGCAAACAAAGTTATTTAAATTTTACAGTTAAAAGTACACGTTTGCACGTAACGCTAAGACCTCGTCGTACGTGTTTGGACACTTTTCTAATTTCTCTGCGCCTTCTACTTAATTATAGAATATAAGACCGTCACGAGACGGCCGATTTATGGCACCGGAAGGAGTCGCCTACCCAGTATACGGTAGGTATATTTGCATAGGCATCGCATGCAGCGACAATGCCACATGCAAAATAATTGCGGCCATACAATGGCATTAAAGCGAATGGAGTCAAGTGGAGTTTTGGAAGCAGGCTTGTAACTGCAACTGTGTGACTGTCAGCCCCTGTGTGCCTGACTGAGTGTGCATGTGTGTGTGTCAACTGTGTGCCTGTGAATGTGTAACTGGCTGTGGCTTTATGCTTGCGTTCCGTTCGCTCTATTCTGTTCTTTTTTGTTCCGTTCCGTTCCGTGCGGTGGCTGCGCGGACAATACAAGCAAGCGTGCTGAGTAATTGCAGCTTTAAATGACATTAAACGCGCATCGTGCAGTTTTGCCTCCTCGTTTTATTTATTTATGTGTTTGTTGGTGTTGTTGTAGTAGCTGGGTTTCTTTTTCTTCATTCTTTCTTACTGTTCTAGAGGCGCATTGTTGGTATTTACTGGTGTTGCTGACCAGCGTACGTGCCGCGAAGCCGAAAGTCATTTGTCGATGCGGAATCGCAAGACATTTTATAAGCAAAGTCACTTCGAGTAAAACTATCCGAGACGGGAAATTATTTCTTATTAAAATCTAAAGGCATGTGACGGGGTCCCAGGTAAAAGAGCAAGCCACAGCAAATTGACTCATTTTTCATTTCAAGCTGAAAATTAATGGACACTAAGGCAAGCATACATACATACATATGTATGTATGTATGTATGCATGTATGTATTTACTATGTGTAGGGCTAAGGTGTTTATTATTTGTCCTCAATATGTCACATGTTCGTTGCTTATACAAATTGAAGTGTTTTCCACTGTAGCAAATTAGTATTGTAATGTCCATGAATGACTTATACATACATACGTATATGAACATATATGTATATATATTTGTACTTTAGTGTGGTATTAGTATTTATTTTGGTCATTGGGTCAAAAGTTTCCATAAACTAAATAGAAGGAAAGGTGGCAAATATATGATACAACACTTAAAATATATTTGAGCAAAGTTCTCAAAAGTTTTGTTTGCCTAAACCTTAGTCAAACAGCAATTTATTATTGTCGCAACGAAGTAAGTCAGCGAAAAGTCGAGCGCAGCCAACTTAATGTTTACTCATAGTCATGCCGGCATGAGCTGAAACGGTTAACCGGTTAACAGCTGCTTAGCAAAAACAATTGGCTGATTGCAAATTTGATTAGTAGATTAGCATATGCGCTTTCGTAAATATGTACATAGTTAATATAAATTGTGATTGCAAGACTTTTAAACTATGCTCAAACGCAGTTTGCACTTTAATATTCATATGCGGTGTTTCGGTAGCACGCAAATGTAACTTTTTTTTTTTTCGCAGCACACACTTTATATGAAGATGTTGTAGTATGACCGTAAAACGAGCTGCTGTCGTCATAAAAAGGCATATAATTTCATGATGGCTGCTAAAAGGTAAAGGTAAGTTAGCCACAGTCAAACCTCAATGTATGGGCTGCCCCTGCTCTCAAATGTATGTATGCATGTATGTATGTGCATAAGTGTATTATCTTTTACTTGTTGGCGGGCTATTCTCTGGTAACGCCCATTTTGTGGGCATGCTAATAAGCACAAAATCACACATACATCACACACACACACATCAACTTTGGCAAATTACGAGGTATAAAAATGGCGTCTCATTATGGTAAATTTAATATTTCATGGGCAATTTGCCAGGATTGAAGCCGACACACTTCAAAAATTGCGTACACACGCACACACACACACACACACACACACGCACGCACATTGATATTTGGGCACTCATACATTCTTTATAGCATGCTGTTGCATAAATGTGGTCGCCATTGAGGGTTGCCAGGAGGCGCCGAGAGAAGCAGGAGTTGGAGGCAGCGCCAGCTTCTTTCTTGATTTGCTTCGCTCATACAAATTTAAACTCAATTAAAAGTTTGCGTATTAGACCAACTTGTGCCTCATTCTGACACGCTGATGACAAGACCACGCCCATTTCGCCCACACTGTGGCGCTGCTGTATGCAATTTACCAAGCGACACACACAGAGGGAGAGAGATAGAGATAGAGTGAGCCTTTGGCAGTTCTCTCGCCATTTGCAAAACCAAATGACATTCGCATTTAGTTGTCATTAAAAATGTGTGCGCGATATATCTAAATGACTTTGGCATGACATGAGACCAAGCGAGCACTCCCATCCATCTCCATATTGCTCTTACACACTCCCTCTCTCTCCTTCTATCTCGCTCTGTTGCATGCTGAGGTAGTCAGACAGACACTGCCTGCCTGGCAGCAACTTCTTCAATTGAAAGCAACAACCCATTGACATACATTGATACGCTTTTTAGCTAGACTTTAGCTACAAATTACGCAAGCTCGTTTTACAAACTTGAAGTGACGTATACATTGCCAAGCCAAGCGCACACATATGTACATCTATCTATATATAGACAAATGTCGAGGATATATTCAGAGGCAACTACACACGTTAAGTTCTCTGCAGCTGAGCTATGCGATTGGCTTATTAAAGTGCTCGGTAATTGGCTATACGACTACGTTCTCAATCGATTATTATAATAATTCACTCATTTTTTATGCATGTATGCAAGTAATTGCCCAAGTGCCGCGGCAACAGCAACGAGAAATAAGTCAAATAAAATTATTTACCACAAGCTTGTTGGGCTACTCTTTGCACCAGGACACTTCATAAAAACCATAATCGTGGAATAGTTCTTGTTGTTGTTGTTGCTGGCCTAGCCACATGGCCAATTTGGTGAATGGCAGCCGCATGAATAATGGAAACAAATCGGCAGCAAACGGCAAAAAGTTAAATGCTTCTAATGACAGAAAATGAAGCAAATAACGAAAAATTGCGCAAAACAAAGGAGACAAATAATAATATACCAAAATGGCCGACCAGTTGGGCTGACAATCGGTTAGCCCTGGTCTACAGCCCGCACACTGTCTGCGTGCGTGCCTGTGTGTCTGTGTGTCTGTGTCTGAGGAAGAGCAAAAGAGAATGAAACTCTCAGAGGAGCACGAGAAAGTGAAAGTGAATTAACGGCAAGCAACTGTGGGCAAATCGAGAGGAGCATGTGCGCGGCATAATTACGAAGCAATTAGACGAAATTATTATTGAGGTCACTCGACAGGCGATGACTCCGAGAGTCACACTGCACACCGAACATATGGCCACTCTCGGTAGTGTAGTAGATGGGGCACACCGTCCCTGCCGCTGTGCGGAGGCGTGCCAATGGGATGCGTACATCATTATCATGCTATGCTACAGCGAATGGGGCGCAGCGCAATTGCCACTGAATACAAGAACAAAACGTAGACACAAATAAAGTACAATGAAAGCTGTAAAGGCGAATCAAACTGCGCCAAGACGAATTCGCAATGCACTCACTATATATCATTGCAGATAATTGAGTTGATTTTTTATTCAATTTACAATATATAAGCTTTTAAAAACAATAAATTTAAATATTTATATGTACACAGCATTTCAATATAAAAGCTAAAAGTTTTCCTCTTTAGCCCTCAGTTCGTGTTTTCGCTAAATGAACTTAATGAATCCAGCGGAATTTTTATTTACAGGATCTATGATAAATGTGTGCTTGCCCCTTTTGTCTGGGTAATGTAAAAAAAAAGAAAAAACGGATTAAATAAAAAAGGAAAATAGGAAAAACCTAATGCTGGCACTAATGATCATGCAATCTGCGGGTGCCAAATGGGCAATGGATGTTTGAGCAGCTGCCGCTGGGACTGGGCTCATGGAAATGGTTAAGTTCTGTGTGCATATACATACATATGTATGTATGTATGTATGTGGGATGGGCCTCAGGACAACCAATATTGAGCGTTAAAAGTGAATCGCGTGAAGCACTTCAATTATGGCAAATGCGTTATAGGGTTGACACGTGAGTTTTGCATTTAGTCGAAAATCAGTTAGAAAAACAAAAATGCCCTGCCCTAATGCGACCTGGTCAAGTTCGATTTGGGCCTACAATTTCCCTGCATAGCCATCGCGTGACAGTTATTTAAATAAAGCAGTCAAAACATGTACGAAGCAGTGACAACAATGACAACGGCTCACAGAGTGGGCGGAACCAGAAACCAGCAGCTCTATTTGGGGGCGGGGCGACCTTAATTGTCGCTAGGCACCCGGCTGTAGGGCCTTGTTTGCATGTTGGTTGATTGCCCTCGGCTTTCACCTGTCAGAGGTGTGGGCGGTGCACTCTAAAAGTATTCGTTGCATAGTTTCAGGCGTTCGACTTTTGTTCCCTTTTCCCCCATCGAAAAATCGAATCGCCAAAGCCCAAATAAAGTTGAATGCAAAAGCCCCGATGAAGGTTACAAGGTCTTAACATTGATTTTGAATTTGATTTTGACAATTGTTGTAAATATGTACATGTGCACACACACACACCACATACGGCATTGACATGTCGAACTTTGAAGGACCTGATATGGGCGGGTGGGGGTGGGGGTTGGACGACCACAGTAGCTAGCCATAAACTAAACGGAAAGCTCGAATGCTAATGGAGCAAATTTCATTAATTTGCAGCAAATTGTTAAAATAATGGCAACATATTAAATCAAATACAGTTTAAAAGTGTTTCAAACGATTTGTGATGAAATACGGGGAAATAAAAAACACATCGCTAATTGAAATTCAATTTCATGGCTCACATATCGGCAGACGTATTCGAGCCTTGACTCTGCTGCTGTCGCTTTAAATCTGATTATGGAAATTGCATTAAAAACTTTTATGAGCATGGAAAATTGTGGGGAAATGTTAGAAAATCACGCAGCCGTCTAAAGAGAGACGGCAAATCGAGTTAGCCGCAGTGTTGCACTGTTGCCGTTGCACTTGCTCCACAGCGGAAGCGAGATTGTGACGTAAATAAATGCCACACCAGCACGCATATCCTTAATAGCAACAACAGCAACAACAACAGCAACAGCAGCAACAATAGATGTTGCAAAATTCAACGATAGCAGTTTTATAAATAAACATTGCCCAACAAATTTATGCATAACATTTTGATACCCAGAGACCAAGGGCAAGCGGGGTATAAATGTTTCTCTAAAAAGTATGTGACAGTCAGGCGAAAGCGTGACCAATCCCATAAGGTATATATATTCCTGATCAAGATGATGTGCTGAGTTCATTTCCTACCGATCTGTCTTTCCCTTCGCAAGCATCGATCTCAGATTCTAGGAGAAGTAGAGTCTGGAAAAACTACTGTATAGCAAGCTCAGAGTTTCTCTACTGAAATGAAACCCAATATTAAAGGTTACGCCTTATAAAAAAAAAAAAAATAAGTCTTTATAAAAAGTTAAAAAAAAAAAAAATATTTCTCTAAACTCTTGACATGGTTCATCACTTCCTCACTTGAAAATATAGCCACTTTATAAACAGGTTTGCAAATAGGGTATCTTCTAGTCTAGCCTGACTAGAGTTTTGCTATTTGTTTGATGTTCGTCGTCTATGTTGTTGTTGCTGTTGTTGCACTATGCGCCACGCAATGTATTTTTAATTAAGTTATGTAAATTGTTAAGTTTGACGCACAAAGTGCTTAATTATAGTATTTGAACATCTATTTTTTACAGACTGCACCCGTTGAAAAAGGGTCAAAATGTGCATATTAGTTTGCATATATTGTGTAAGTAACTGATAGAAAATCATATATGTATTTGTGAAACATTTCTTATTGTGTATAAAAAGAAATATGCAATTGCTATTGCCTATTAATAGAAACATCAAATTTCTAGTAAAACTTGCTTTTATAACAAATATTCCCAAGTCAGCATAGCTTTACCCACCCTCCCGCAAATACAATTGAGCACTCTGGCATATACACAGTCATAAATATATTCTGAAAATTGCATTAAGAACGTACATCTAGAGCAAGAGCTATTCCATGACTTCTCTGCCTGCATAAATTGAGCAGCATCTATGTGTGCGTGTGTATGTGTTTGTGTGTACAAAAGACACAACTCATGTGTGAAGAGTTGAGGGTATCGCTCAGTCAGGCAGCAGCAGCTAGAGCTATGTAAATTACTTTCATTTGTGAACATTTTGTAAATATATTTATTTATTAAAAATATACTTTACAAAAATATCGTATTGTATTCAATTGTGGCACATGTGAACGGGTATTATATAATACTTGTATTTGAGCCAAATATACTCGATATGCGATTAGTAACGATACGACTTTAGCCGAGACACAAACCCACTCGCCTTGCTTACATCTCTAATAGCCAGAGGCTGTGGCACTAATCGCAATATACTTTCGCCCATTTATGACCACGGGCTCCATTAAGGGCGGCGTATGCTTTGGAATGTTGCCTGGCGCACCTCCTTGTGGCACTCTCGGTGGTGCAACGTGCGCGAACTGCGCCACTGGCTTCTTCACCGCCTTGGGCTTCGCCTTTGACTGCCTCACTACAAATATGGCTGGCTTGGCCACTTGCTTCGTCGTGGCCTGCGCTGGCTGCTGCTGTTTATGATTTGTCTGCTTTGGGTCTTTTTCCTTCTCAATATTCTTCGCGTCAGCTTTAGCATTGAAGCAAGTCTGAACACGAATTGACAAAGGTTTTGAAATTAATCCTTTTTAATCATTAAATATATATGTATATATATATACTTACGGGGCACAAGTAAATTTGCTTTAATGTGTGGGCATCCCTAGTCACCTTGCGAGTTCTCGCCTTGCACTGGGAGCAAATGGAAAATGGAGCCATAGCTTTCACGTCCTCGCGTCTTAGAGTTTTAGCCGCGTGCTAATAGTAAAACACAACAGTGTTGATTAACTAACTCTACAAAGCAGGGGTGTTGCTAAGTGCCCAAGGTAAGCGGCACTGCCAATCGGCCTTAAAGCGAAATCTTCACGCATTTCGTTTGTTTACCTTTCCTGCGAATTGGCAACAAAAACTCGTGAGTGCCTGGCATTTGCATTCACATTCGCATTCGCATTTGCATTTTGCATTTTGCATTTTACATTCGAGCATTCAACGAGTCTCATTGTAATATAACTGGCCAGAATTTTCTGAAAAATGGCTTGGCAACGGCCGCCGCTGATGGCCTGTATAATGACCTTTGATGTCAGCTTGCTGGCTGCTGGCTTAGTCAGAGCTCGTATTCGCATTAACGCCATTAGGCCAATTTGGCAACTTGCCCTGACAAACACAAAAAAAAAAGAAGCAAACAAACTAAAAAAATAAGAGAAAAAAAAAAAACAAAGCACCGAAGAAACTTTTACAAAGGTAACCAAAAGTGTGGCCCAAATGGCAGTGCGCTACTTGACTGCAGTCTAAGTGGAGACAGGAGTGCCCTAACTCTGCCTTGTTCACACACACTCACGTCCAGTCAGACACATATGTATCTATGCAAGTTCAAATAAAAGTCAAGTGTGCAGCACCGAAAAATAACAGCAGATGCCACAGTTTGTGCCATGCTCCTTGCTGTTGCTGTTGTTGTTGTTGTTGTAGTTGCTCGTTGGCTGCAAACATTTCTCTTCGTCGGGCCAAGTTTGCTTTAATTACGATCGCAGCCAGCCAGAAAGCGCACAGCTAACAGCTGTGTCCTCGGATTCCACTGACATTTCAGCATTGTTTTCCCTTAGCAACATGCATCAATTTATGTTCATTCGCATGCTTTTTTATTGCCTCACGTTAGCCAACACCGCTTTAAACTGGCCTTTTCTGTTTATTACCTGTCAAACACTATGAATGGACAGTGTAAATAGTTGACAATTCGTACATCTGTTGCACTTTGTTTATAGCCTGCCAAGCCCCTTAAAGACTTTGAAATCATTCAACTACCTAAAAAGTGTTATTTAGGTTAAGGTTTGATGATGATTGCGCTATAGAAAATAATAAAAAAAAACTTGAAAAGTATGCAACATAATTTAAGATAGAGGTGAAGAGTCTGGAAGTGGAGAGTGGAGAGAACGACATGTTCGGAGCAACTCAACTAGCTGAATACCCTGTACATGATTGCTTATGCTATTGGCAAATAAAACTTAGATATATGAGATGATATTAATTGTATAATTTCTGTCTAAAATGTTCTATCTCTATATGAAAATATATTTAAGTTGGAGTATATTTGATTAGGCATACTATAAATATATAAGAAAACAAATATATATTTAAGTAAAGTTGTGCTCTGTGTGAGATAAATACGAAACTTTAAACTTAAGAAAAAAAATCTGCATTTAGATTCGTAGGAATTATTAAACAAAGATTAAGCTGAGGAGGGCAGTGGTAGATGGTAAGATAGTACTAGATGGTACTGGATGTACTATAAAAAAAAAATAATAATAATAATACAATAAATTGCACATACCTTCTCTCTCCCACTCTCTTTCGTTCTGTGATAAATACAGGGTAACACAAAGCCTGCTATGAGATCATATCTTTCTGGGAATGCACTTTCTTTTGTTGGCTTTGTGTACAATAGCTTTGTTATTTGCTGTTATGCATTGCACTTTTCTTGACTAATAAATGATTTAAAAACATTGTGGAATGTATACATGATTCAATATTAATTAATTGTTTATTTATTAACACCTTACTTTGAACGTGTGTAGTGGCGCTGGAATAGAGGGAAAAAAGAAACAGCCTAAAAGTAGGCAATCGCTGAGCAAGGAGTGGCTTAGCATAGTTGAACGCGATCCCGAATCTGCATTAATAACAGGAGAATTTGTCACTCTCACCTAGGCCATAAAAAAACTGTTCCCAAGCGATGACTTGCCGCTTCATGGGATCGGCCATACTTCCGCTTTCTTTCCGGTTCTACACTTAATAAAATTAATAATAATAATAAAAATCTCAAGCACCGACTAAAAAGGTTGTATAAAAATTTCGCTGTGAAGTGATGAAAAGTTAAGTCGAGAATTGATGAAAAAAAAATGTTTTAAATTGAAAATATAATTTTTTTTTGTGCAAGTGCCAAACTAATTAAACCGGTAAGAAGAAAGTAGTGGTATATCATTAAGTCAGTATATTTTTGTGTAAAATCATATTCGCATCGCGCTATTTGAATAGCTGCAGCTGCGCACAACTACATACATATACGCATCGCATTGTATGGCTAGCTGCAGAATACAGCCTCTTATATCTTCGCACCTGCCACGCCTCTGCACGGACTTACTGCTGCACACCAAGCATCACCATTTGATTTAAAAAGGTACAGCCATCTGTCCAACTTTTGCGAATATTAATTTATTAATTTATACTATCGGCACTGAGTTTATCTTTTTGCAATGTTTTCGCTTGAATTCATCGTGAACTAAATAATAATTATATAGTAAAATAATATAAGATAATAATAGTCATTAAGCGATAGCCATTATGTATTCATAACCTCCACCTCTTCCCAAAAGGAGTTGCAGTTCCCCTCCTCATGCCCTCATCCCATCCGCTTTATAATGTAACTCGTTACACGTGCTGGAGCGCTTTTGAAGCCATCCTGGGCTTAACTGTTATTTAAGTCTGGCTTGATCACGTTAAATCGATAGAGCTATCGATCTATCCACAGTACACAGAAGCTTCCATACCATTTTAGTCATATTTAAGCTAATGATGGCTCATGACGTCAGCCCTGCCCTCAACAGTCCGAATTCAATGTAATGGACAAACGCAAAAACATTTGATTTATTAGTTTTGTCATTAAACAAATTGTCGAACAATGACAGGCCCAATACATACGCACATGCAGCCCCTTATAGATAGTCGATGTACATATGTATATATATATATATATATATATGTATGTGTATGTATGTAGAGGCAAGTGTGCTCATAGACTTATTTATGTAGATTGATATTTGTTTCGGATAAACAGAGCCATTGACGCAAATTTGTATAAACATTTTCATTACCAAAATGTGCATGAGGCCCCCAAGGACCTCAAACAGGCTGCGCCAATCACTTTTGGCTCAATTGCTTTTCGAAGCGGTCATCGGTCGATGCAGCACAATTGATGGCACCACAGAAACCCAAATGAAAACCAAAACAAAAACCAAAGACAAAGACAAAGACAAACATTTATTAATTACTGGAACAAAGGGATTGTCATACTAATAGGCAGTTGTAATTGATTTATAATGACCCGATAATATTATCTTGTCGAGATTTTATCGATGTGTACTCAATATCGTTTACTACTACGCAGACTGCGCAGCGGTTCCAGGTCCTGGTCGGGCAGCATCAACTCATAATTGTGGTCGACGACATTGATTTTGCTCTGCTCGCATGCCTCGAGCTCTGGCAGCAGAATGCCGTCCTGAAACTTCTCGCGCAGCTTCTGAAAGAGATCCACTTTCAGCTTGCGGCGTTTGTGCTCCTTCTCGATGACCCGCCGAAACACTAGGCTCATGTTCTGATGTCTCAGCTGGCTATGGCTCATGCTGACAATCGTCGCCCTCACCTGGTCAATGGTTATGTTCATCGTCTCCAATGTCCCCTTGCTCGTCCAAATCGCAACGCAGCGCTCGCAGAGGCCGACCACAAAGTTTGTCACCTTCAGGGGGCACATCTCGCATTTGGCCACCTGCAGCAGTGGATCGCCCTTCTGTGAGTTCATAGCGCTAATTGCCGCAGCTCTTCAAGAGGCTGTAAGTGTCTGTGTTTGTGTGTGTGTGTGTGAATGTGTTGGGGTGCGCGAGGAGCTCTCCTTTTATAGATAGTTTCGCCGCAAGTTTCTTTTTAACCAAAAACTTTAGCTTAATGTAGACGTCTTTCTCTTGATATGAGACTGTGATTATGTTCGTATATCTTTTTAGCAATCGCCAAGAAAGTCGAGCTGCTAAACGTGCTTATTAGCTATTTACAGTGTTGGTAAAGAAGCAAATAGTGTTGGCTGCATATTTGCATTCTCTCCTTTTTCTTATCGGCTCTGCGCCCTCATTTCAACGGAGTTGGCAGCGCTAGGCCCGCCCTTGACTAAGGTGTTTTCATAGAGCAAACTTTTTTGAAAATTGATAAGGATGAGTTTTTTGAAGACCATCAATTAATAAATAAAACCATTTTATTTAAATTTTATTTTTTTATAATATTACAATATATTGTGAATAGCATAAAAAAGGAAAATAAATACTGAACTTTTTTTATTTGTCACTAAATAGTTATATATTAGAGGGATTCTATTAAAGGAGATTTATGATTACTGAGAGAATCTATTTTGTAATTTATTTCGTATTATTTTAAATTCTGAGCTCAAATTGATTTATTTATTTAGTTTCAATTTGTTGTTTATTAATTTAGGCTGCAGTAAACCTAATCCACTTTATATATGTATTCTATATGCTATATATACCATCTATATTATATGCCTGAACAGCATCAGCAGTCGACTTGACCTAATTCATTGCAACTATAAATTTTTAGTTCTGAGTTGGCCTTAGTTAATGACTATACATAGTTAGTACCGTCTCTCTATACTCACTAACTATTCTTTAACAATGAGATTCTCTTAGTTTATTATTCCACTAAGTTTTATCCATTTGTAAGCTTATAATTTACAATGAAAATGGATTATTAGTCAACTTATGGGTAGTATCTCATGTGAGGGTCGAACAAGAATGGATGGAAAACTACAAATGAATTTCAAACATGTTTCGGACTATCCTTGAGCCTTCACCCAGAGCAGTTGGCCAAAAGTATTTTGTAAACTCAAGCCCATAATTCAATTCCTTGAAGTGTTGGCATTTTTATTTTCATTTAGTTTTTTTGAATCAATTTTATGATTAAAGCCTTGGTCAGATGGTGTTGGCTGTTGGCTGTTGGCATGCCCGGCCGAGCTAAGCTGAGGCGAACCGAGTCGAGTCGGGTCGAGCCACGCTGAGGCCATTGCGAGGCTCTTTTCGTTTTAGCAAAATTCGTTTAATTTCTTAAATTGAAATTATGGTAATTTCCTGTAGTCATGCAAGCCCTCGGAGCCGGCTTTCGTGTCTGATCGATTGGCCAGCACCAGCCCGGCCTTTGGGCAGACTGTGTATGATTCAGCTAACCAAAAGTCAAGTTCATAAATTTAAAGCAAATGCAGTTCGAGGCGTTCGCCTTTCGCTATCCACTTTACTTTGACAGCCGATGAATGTTTTTGGGTGCTGTTGCCATCGGGGCACGTTAAGGTTTCGTCATTGAGGTGCCATTTTCAAGGTCTGCTACCAGGCCAATCGATAGTAACTCACCCTCTCTCACTCTCTTTCTCTGTGTGGGTGTTATTTACAATGAAATAATTTAACTGTTGATTTATGATTTACAAGCACAATTAAAGCCGCACCCAAAAGAGACGCCAAAAGTGACACAGTTTATTGTTCAATTGGCGTGCACTGTGGATGCCACAATTCGTGGCGCCCCCAAATTATAATCGTGGGAAACTGTGTACGGACTGGCGAGCACAAAGAACGGCTCCAGGCAGAGGCAGCTTGTTAGGCTTGTTGTTCTCTCAATTGCGTCCTTTAGTGGCATTTCATTCGAATCAACGCACCTCAGTCCACAAGCCACCCCCACTGTGGGGCTGCGACGCCCCCTCTCGCACAGCTACGGCCTGGCTGTTCGAACAAAGCGATTTGCCATTTGCATGACCAGGCAAGGTGTGCGCAGTGCAGGTGGGCGGCATTTCGGTTACCTGTTGAGATATGTAGCACCCGGCCCAAGGGGGCAGGCGACGGAGGCGGAGCAGCAGCTTTCAAATTGTGCGAAACAGCAGGCAGTTCTGGAGCCATGTCGAGCATGATTTGCCCGACTACTGGGCGTAGCCCTAACGGGCCATTTCAGCCATGGCAAAGGGGTTCAACTTGGCTTTCGCACATTCATTCATTCAGATTCCACGAAAAGCCAAAAACCAAACGTTGAGTGCGTGCAAGAACTGACCGCCCACAAAATTGCAGTTACATATTTCTGAAACTAGTCAATAGTTGAATATTTTTGTTCTCAATTTATGAAAATTCAGCCTGGCTGCGCCCTAATGACTGAATATGAAAACAAATTTTCATGTTTTTCCAATTAAAATTCAACAATTGCGGCTGTCAGAAACAAAATCATGGCAAAGGACATGTCAAAAAAAAAAAAGGCGTGTGAAGTCATTGATTACAAAAGGTATACAGGAATCTCTTTTTTGCCAAGTTTTGTTTGCATATATCAGTGAAGCTTGAAATTTTTAGTGAGCTGCTGAATATCATTCTAAAGTTGCTTTACTGTGGGAAGTGCTCCTGAAACAAATGAAATGCAGGATAAAAGCAATCGTAGAGTAGAAGAGTTTCGATTGCATGAGTTCGACTAGCTGATTTCGGGTGATTGATGCATGGAAGAGGTAATCAAAATGTGAGGTTTTTCATGTTTATGCTGAATAATTTCATAGGAACTATGAATGCCACATGAATAGGTGGATAGTCCGGCGGATAGTCAGACGGACAGATGCACAGTGCTAGATCGATTCTGCTGTTGAGCTCAGCGAAGAATTACTTGCATGCCTTATGCAATCAGCCACGCCTCCTGCTGTTTGCAATTTGTTTTTTTTTTTAAGGACTCTAATTATACCCTAAATATTTTTGGCTTGTGTTAATAAGTCATGTATTCATATAAAATATTGAAATGAAACTTGGATAGATTACTTGGACAGATTAATTGAACTGAATATCTACTACATATTACAATTTATCTACGATTAGCAATACTACCCCAAGTCACGCAGTTCGGCCGAAAGTTCCTTCCGTCTGTCAAATTCGGTCGGTTTGCCCAGTAAATTTGGGTCAGTGCTGGGTAGCGTAGTTCAGGAAGAGGTCATCGATCTTTATTTGTGCTTGATGTGAAATTCCTTATAGATTTTTGATGTCGACTGCAACAATGCGAGAGGTATGCCCGCAATCGAAACTGTTTAAATTTTCGTCATAGTTATGGCATATTTGTGGCAAATTCGTGACTTCCGCTGCTTCCGCAGCGACCGCACACTAACCATAACTAAACTATCTTGTTTTCTGGGTATCGCCAAGCACAAAGTGCGACCACAAAGTCAGGGAAACTCAATTTTTGGTTTGGCTACCGTAGGGGGGCGGGAGCGCAACACAAACAGTGACTGCTGAAAAAGGTTGAACGCATGGGAGGCGAAGATGAACCTGTAGGAGGTGGTGGATGGTGGAAGGTGTGCGCACACATGAACGCATACCATATATGTAGGGTGGGTGGGTGTAGAAGGCCTTGAATAGGGGGGGGCTACGCTTCGCGCTGCAGCTCAACTGTAAACATCATCATTGACGATGTCGGCGTCGCACTCAGAGTCTCAGTCGCAGTCGCAGTCATAGTCGTAGTCGTAGTGGTAGTGGTAGTCGTTGCCCCCGGAACTGACTAGAATGGCTGCCATGGACGATCTCTTGTGCGACTGTGTCTATTTCCATGCGTTGGCTACGTCGTTCCAACGTCGACAGTCCCGATGGATGCCTTTGATTCCATTTCACTTCATTTCATTTTTGTTGTCGCGACGGCGTCGCTGCTTTGTGGCAACTCATGTGGGCTGCCCATCCTCCAACAGCGAAATCAACGGCCCGGAATTGTGGACGATGATGGCTTGCCATTATGTACATGCACACACACACACACACGCACCCATACATGTATTGGATGTGCCTCTTCCTCAAGCTGCTGTTGTCGCTGTCGTTGCTGTTGCTCCTCTCGGTTAAGTGTATGCCATTTTGTTGCATGGAAAATTCATTGGATTTCTCTAATTCAGTTCATAGTTGTTGTTTATGCCATTCCAATTACATTACGCTTGTCGCTCGATAGACTGGCTGAAATCTGATTTTCATACACTTGCTCAGTGGCATTGTAATATTGTCACGGAATGTGCAATGCTCGTACATTCGTACATTCCTGATCAGTCGAAATGGACGCCTCCATAAAGTCAAGTGCCTTTGTTGATTAGGTTGGCAAGGCCTGCTGCACAGCTGGAGTCAATTTTCATACTACTATGCGTACTATCATCATCATTATTATTATACTATGATATGATACACTCTTCATATGCGCTTCACTATTGTTCGCTCATCTGTGAACTCCAAGCATAACTATTGCGCTAGAGACTTCAAACTGGGAATATGTATTCGTATTAAGTGACCTCATGGCGTTTATTGACCAGCGAAGTATTATATTCTCTGCAGTGCAACTAGAGGCACATCTCAGATAGAATCGTGGCTATCTAGCTACGGTCATGACTAATCGGAAAAAGATCTTTGGAGTAAAAATGTTGAGGCGCATATAAGTCAATGAAGCTATCTTTAGTTAGCTCCCATTAGAAAATCACGAGTTTGAGCAGTCAATAGTGGAACAAAAGGATATTGCTCTAAAGCTAGAACAGTCAAATTTGCTAGTTTCTCTACTCTTCTCTATCTGCCTCTCAGCTCAATAGATACATTAAAAATGAGGTATCGTATGAGGGGTGTAGCTTTTATAGTTAAAATCTTGAGCTCTAGCCGCTGAATTGCTCATAACTTGCTTTATAAAGAGACTGCCAAAGTATAGGGCAATTAGGAAATTTACCTATTTTTGCCGTACTTACTTTTAAGCCATGTCATATAGAGCCGACGGCTGTTTTCATAGCTTTTGTGGTAACCAACTTTTCTTGTTGATATTTCTGAAATCAATTTCCTCCTCAATAGTAAATATGTCCACCCACCCAAGCAAAGTAAATACCAAATTAGTGTTTTGTTTTTGTTTTCTTTCAATAATAGTTCTTGTTTATTTTTCAATATGCGCCTAGTTCTATTATTATTATTATTATTATATGTTTCGATTATTTCTCGCCTCTTTATATCAATATATATATGGTATATATAAATAAATGTTATTGTTCATTGCGTGTTCATTTCAATGCTTACCATTTGTATTATTAATATCATTATTATTATTAGCTTTTGTTATGCATTTTTTTGTTAGTTTTTACTTTGTTTCAAATTCAAATTGCTTGTAAATGAAATTCTTATCAAATTTAACAAACAATAGTCTCATCAAAGCCAATTGTAAAAAAGTTGGTGTCTCTGTCTGTATGTGTATCTGTGTATGTGTGTGTGTGTGTGTGTTTGTGTGCAGGTGTTTTGAATTTGTTTTGAAATACATCATTATTATTCATACCTCGATTGCGTTTGCATATGTATTTATGCATTTATGTAACAACAAAATTATATAACGAGCATGTTCAACATGAAGCGTGTGTATAAAATGGATATTATGTAATAATCTATATTAATTGTTCTTGTTTTTTTATTTTGTATTTTATTTTTACTTTGTTTTTGTTTATATAATTTTCTAACTGCTGCTTCTTTGAGGCATATTCTTTAGCTATGCACGGCTTAGTTTAGTACACAATGAATTACTTATTTTGTAATTATTTTCTTTCCTTTCATTTTTTCTTTTTTTGTTGTTGTATTTGTTTGTGTCTTAAAAAATGATTTCAATTAGCTTAACTATCAAAAATTATATGCATTTTCCATCTATTTCATTTCAACTTATTTACAGTTTGTTTTATGTATATATATATATATATATATATATATATATA